CCCGACGGGGTTCCGCCTGCCTCTGTCTCCCGAGTGCTGGGACTACAGGCGTATGCCACCACGCCTGGCTTATTATTTGTTATTTTTATGTGTATGCGTGTATTGCCTGCATATAGGTAAGTGCACCCGTGTCATGCAATGCCCACAGAGGACAGAAGAGGCTGTCAGATCCCTGGATCTGGAGTTATACACAGTTGTTAGCTGCTGTGTGGGTGCTGGAATTCGAACCCAGGTCTTCTGCAAGAACAGCCAGTGTTCTTAACTGCTGAGCCATCTCTCCAGCCCCTGCTTTTTTATTTTTTTTTGAGACAGGGTCTCCCTGTAGTTCCAGCTGGCCTGCTTTGTAGACTACATTGGCCTTGTACAGAGACCTGCCTGAGTGCTGGGATTAAAGGCATGTACCACCATGTACATCACTGCGTAGAGCTTAATAAAATCTTTAAAAACTTGGTGGGTTATGAAATTACAAAGTTCTATAAAAATCTATCTATCTATCTATCTATCTATCTATCTATCTATCTATCTATCTATCTATCATCTGTCTATCTATCTGTATATATGTATGGGGGACCAGGGTTCCCAGCACCTACATGTCAGCTACCAGTCATTCATAACTCCAGTTCCAGGGGATCTTCTGCCCTCTCCTGGCCTCCATGGGCATTGCAACAAACACTCTAAAATAAAAATAAATTAAAAAATAATTTATAAGCTATAGATAAAATGCATAATGGTTAAAAATGCACTATATTTCTTTTGAAAATGTATTTAAATATTTTTTCATCTATCGTTGGTAGACTCTTAGGAAAAGTGTGCACACACAGCCTACATGTATACAATGTTACATTTTTATACTGGTAACAATTTTAAATGGTCAGATGTCTACTGTAACTTTCAAAGTAATGAGAGTCTATATCTAGATATTTAAGCAACAGAAAAAAAATCTTAAAATTATTTTCATCTTGAGTGGCGTATATGTCCTAGTATTCTGACTTTATAATAAAAGGCAAAATGATCCTTAAAGTGAATAATGACATTTTATGAGGCTTTTTAAATGCTGTAATTCATAAATGTATCTAGAGAAATGTGGGGATGTGTTAGAGCATTACAAACATGCTGAGTGCTTCAGAAGAGATGCAGGGGGAGACGTTCTGCTCTTTGCGTTGACGCCTCATGAATTTCCTCTTTATACAACTGCAGTGGCTATGAGGTCCTTCGGCTGAAGGGATACATGTCTTGGGCTATTGGACTGTCTGTGACAGATCTGGCAGGATCAATGCTGAAGAATCTTAGAAGAGTGCACCCAGTTTCCACTCTGGTCAAGGTAGATCTCAGTGAATACTCACGCGTTAGTAGTTAATGAGCCCCTTCCATGTCCCGGGCATTGAACAAGATGCTGAGGTTATAGTGGAAATGGTGACCGAGAGACAGAGACCCTTCCTGATGGAATATAATGAAAGATGGAATTCCTAAGACAATCATAGAAGAGTATGTACAAGAGCAAATTGTGCGCTGGGCGTAGTGGTGCATGCCTTTAATCCCAGCACTCAGGAGGCAGAGGCAGGCAGATCTCTGTGAATTCAAGGCCAGCCTTGGACTCACTGGTCTACATAGTGAGTTCCAGGCCAGCTGGAGCTACAGGGAGACCCTATCTCAAAATTACAAAAAAAAAAAACAAATTGTGGTAAGTGCTGTAAGGACAAACTACCAAGTGTTGAGAACTTGAATGGGTCAGAGTTAATATTCCAAGAGGGGGATCTTGTGCAGAGGTGGATGTAAGCACAGGGCTTGGGAGTTTGAAAGAACTTGCTATCGAAGTGCAGGACGCAAAGGAAAGAGCCCATGGTGAGACTGGGCGGGCCAGCTGCCACTTTCTATAATGGAATCAGGCAAGGCCCGGGCATCATGTTAAAAATGTCATGGCCGGGGCTGGAGAAACAGCTCAGTGGTTAAGAGCACTGACTGCTCTTGCAGAAGACTGGGGTTCGATTCCCAGCACCCACATGGCGGCTGCAAACCATCCTTAACTCCAGTTCCAGGGGAATCTGAAGCCCTCTTCTGATCTCCGTGGCATTGCATGACACAGGTGCACTCACACACATGCAGATAATACACTCGTACACATAAAATAAAAATAATAATTTTTTTTAATCTTTTTGAATCAGGGTCTCCCTGTAGCCCCAGCTGTCCTGGAACTCACTATGTAGACCAGGCTGGCCTTGAACTCACAGAGATCCGCCTGCCTTTGCCTCCCAAGTACTGGGACTACAGGCATGCTCCACCACACCCGGCTTAAATAAAATATATTTTAAAATAATGCCATGGCCTTGAAGGAGAGAACAGATTTGAAGGGGATAAGATTAAATGTAGGGAAACTTTCGTTTTGTCTTTTTTGTTATTGTTTGAGACAAGGTCTTCCTGTAGCCCTAGCCAGCCTGGAACTCACTAGGTAGACCAGGCTGGCCTCAAACTCACAGAGATCTACTTGTCTCTGCCTCCCAAGTGCTGGGATCAAAGGCATGTGCCACCGCACCTGGCATGTGCAGTGTTTAAAAAAAAAGTTATAAACTTATAAGGTTGGGTGTGGTGGCACACGCCTTTAATTCCAGCATTCCAAGAGGCAGAGGCAGGTGGATCTCTGTGAGTTCATGGCCAACCTGGTCTACATAGTGAGTTCCAGGCCAGCTGGGGGCTACAGGGAGACCCTGTCTCAAAAAATATTTATTTCATGTGTATGAGTGTTTTGCCTGCATCTATGTAAGTGCAACATGTTGTTGGTGGAGGCCAGAAGAGGACATTGGATTCCCTGGAACTAGAGCTAAGGACGGTTGTTAGCTGCCATGTGGGTGCTGGGAACCAAACCACGGTCCTTTGCGAGAGCAGCCTGTGCTCTTAAACTGTAAGCCATCTCTCCAGCCTGTGCCCCCTCCCCCATGGAGTCTGTTGAGTTGCCAGTACGTGTATGGCTGCAGGACCACCCACTGAAACACAGGCCACCTCCCCGACAGCCATTAATTGCCAGTTGCTCCTCTGCTAGGGAGGGATTTCCTGATCACCTTCCTTCCATGCTGGGCTTTTGGTTGGCTTCATCTTGTAGACAGACCAGTTGAATTTGAATCACTTTTGAAGAGGAAGGAAGGAAGGAAAGAGGGAGGGAGGGAGGGAAGGGAGGAAGGAAAGTAGGAAGGAAATAGTAAAGTGTATGTAGTGACACGGTCAGGGTGCCTGCCCCAGGTGCTCACAACGGTGCCACTGGAACTGCCTTGCCTCGTCCTTTCCCTCTGTGGTGTCAGTCTCATGTGGGCTTTGTGATGAGACAGCAAAGCCAGCTTCCAGCAGCTGTGAGCTTAGGGTCTGTAATCCCAGGACTCTGCCTCTCTGTTTGCCTGTATTAATTTCCAGATAATTGGACTATTGCTCCTGTAACACCTGTCAGTAGGGAAGAGGACAGTTCCTAAAAGGACAAGAGAGGTCTGCAGTGAAAAAGAGTGGGGCTGGCGACCTGGCTTAGTGGTTAAGGGTGTTTGTGGCTCTTGCAGAGGGCCAGATTTTGTTCCCAGCAGCTGTTTGGACAGCTCACGACTGCCTGTAACTGTCTTCTGCCTAGCTTTGCTTGCCGCTGTAGTCTCCTGTATATTTTTAATTTTTCTCGCACAGTTGCTTTCCTACTGGGGAACTGAACAGTAATCTAACCTTACATTTCAGGGCTTATATGGAATAAATGAAGAAATCTTTCTCAGTGTCCCTTGCATTTTGGGGAACAGCGGTATCACAGATATTGTGAAGGTGAACTTGACCCCTGAAGAGGAGGCCCTCCTCAAGAAAAGTGCAGACATGCTCTGGAATGTCCAGAGGAACCTGGAGTTATAACGACTCAGCGCCCCACTGTTTTAAACACTTTTTGGTATTTCCATATGATTTATAAAAATAAAAATAATGCTGAAGACCATGACATGACAGCAGTCTCCGAGCATTAGAAAGATGAAGTGGCAAAGCAATTGGTCCTTTCCACGGATCCCTTAAGGTCCTGCTGCAGGAAGACCCAGTCTATGAGTAGAAATGATCCCCCTTAAGTACTGACATGTGAGTTGCTTTCAGGTTTATTAGAATGAGTGTCACAACTCATTACAACACAATTCAAGATTCTGCTCACAAAACAAATACTTTTCCACACGCCTTCTCCTGTTGTGACACCCGCACCCTTGCTTCACACTGCCTCTTTAGGTCCTGTTGTGTATCAGAAGAAAAAGAGGGAAACAACTTAAAAAAGTTGGTCTACATAGTTCCAGGTCAGCTGGGGCTACAGGGAGAGCCTGTCTCAAAAAAAATTATGCATATAATGCATATTGCCTGCATGTATATATGTGCACTCATATGAGGAATGCCCGTGGAAGTCAGAATAGGACTTCGGATTCCCTGAAGCTGGAGTTAGAATGGTTGTTAGCCACCATGTGTATGCTGGGAACCTGGATCCTCTGCAATAGCAGCTAGTGCTCTTAACCACTGAGCCATCTCTCTAGCCCCAGGATACAACTTTTGATGTTAAAAAAAATTAAGGGCTAGAGAGATGGCTCGGTGGTTAAGAGTAGGTACTGCTCTTCCAGAGGACCTGAGTTCAATTCCCAGCAACCATGTTGGGTGACTCACACCTCCCTGTAACTCCAGCTCCTGGGGATCCAATGCCTCTAGCTTCCTTGAGCATCTGCATGCACGTGCACACACACATGCACACACAACACGATTAAAAATAAAAATAGAAAACGACATCAAATTGTGCAAATATACCAATTTCACATAAATATGAATTTGCAGATGACTTCGTTGATCTCATGGCTGATTTGGCATCTATGGAAATACCACATAGGTCACTTAGACCATCTCCTGGGTCATTCATTCAGCAAACAACTTCAATGATGACTCTGTTCAGGCATTCGAAGTATTTAGGGTGTGTCAGCCTATTAGTGCTAGAGAGCCTCCTGTCAGTAGCTTCCTCTTGATGTTCAAGATGGGGATGTCTGTGCTTTCCTGATCTATGCATAGCTGGTATTTCCTTGATTCCACAAAGAATTTAAGGTAGATACTGGAAATATATGAAGAAGCAAATGTAGGAATCTAAGTGCAAGGTGACCAGGACAGGACCAGGAAGAAAATGGCCTGGAGGGGGCCTGTGTTCTAGCCATGCCCCCATGTGGTCAGAGCCATTGTTACCCTCACTGCCCAAGCAGTTCGTGTAACCAACTACCGACCATGCCTATTATTTCTTTTTGCCGGTTCTTTCCTTGAATACATAAAATAGTTATACGCTTAATTAGAACAGATGGAAAGGAGGCTTTTCTGTGGGGTTTGCCCTTTTAAACACCAATTAAAACTGTAGAGGTCAAAGTTAAAAAAATATCTACAGGGAAGATTGTAGGAAGTCAAACTGCTACACTATGCATTCTCAATGGACCGATACTGTCCCTGAGGGACGGGGTGAAATTTGGTTCTTGGACACAAACCTGATTTGATGGGCCTTAACATATATGACAGAATGTATGAAATCCAGTGGGCAGGCTTTGAGGGGGCAGATGGGGGGGCCTAAATATTAAGATGTACGAAATGCACAAAAATTCAATCCAAATATTAAAAAAATTGGTTCTTGTGGAGTGATAAATTTTAGACATGACAAGGACTTGGTTCTACGCTAGAAAATGTTATTCCTTAATATTCAGTGCTACTGTGTGTGGTTTCTGAGTGCTCATAGTTTGACTCGGTTCCATGGTTTATGAAACAAGCTTCGGATACACGCACTGTGCATCACAAAAGGAGAACAATTAGACAAAACGCAGTGGAAGTGGAGCCCTTACTCTATTCCAGAAGGATTGTAGAAACCGTCAGCTAGTTCGTGCTACACTCAAAATTACCTATTCGATTTCCGAATTCCTTTTGTAGCTGCCATGGTGGAGCGTGCAATTCCTTTCCCATGGAGGTCGCCTCCCCCACCACGGTCTCCTATAGTTCAGGCTGGCATTGAACTTGCTACAGCTGAGGACGACCTTGAATTCCGATGGCCCTGCCTCAGTGCCCGCAGAAGGTGCCACCATGCCCAGCTCACCCTGGGGGGCTACCTGGCTCCCACCCATGGAAAAAGGCAGGCTTGAGGTCACTTTCTTCTACAGTGCTGGTGAAGAGGCCCCATGAGATTTTAAAAAGCAGGTACTAGACAAGCTCCGGGCGGATGGGCCCTTGGCGGCAGCAGACGCCTTTCCGTCTGCAGAGCACCTCCCAGCCTGTGAGTTATCCATGCAGGGCACACATCTGCGCACAGGTGCAGTGCCAGAGTTCCGCATCTCCGCCTTAACCCTGAAGCATCCTGGGAAGCCGCAGCCGCAGAGGGCATCCGTGGCTCACCCCAGCTTTGCCACCCTGAGGCTGCAGAGATTGAGTACGTGCTGCTCTCGCAGAGGACCCAAGTTCAGTTCCCAACACACACACCAAATTCTCACAACTGCAGGCAACGCCAGCTCCAGGGGGACCTGACACCGTACATGTGCACACACAAGCATGCCAGTCAGATACTACACAGAAAGAATCGCTGACGTCAAATATGTGAGACAGGGAAAGCATTGGATGATGACTTTTACTAGCCATTCCTGACCCCCGCGTTTACAACGGAAAGGCTGAGAGATGCCGTCAGAATACATGCGTTAAGATATTTTTACGTGTATGTGTGTGCATGTTAGTATGAGCCCACGTGTGGGCTCCTGCAGAGGCCAGAAGAGGGTCTCAGATGCCTTGGAGCTGGAGTTACAGGTGCTGACAGCCACCCTGTGGGAGCTGGGACCATCTCCAGTTCTCTTAAAGCAATCTCCCCAGCCCCTAGAATACAATTCTATAGGCTCAGTTTTTTTAGTTTTAGATCATAAAAACTGAGATGACAGAACTGAGCCCATACCCCACATGCTGTTAACATCGCATCTAGAGATTGTACTTACAATAAAGAACCACATTACTGTATTATTAAAATCTAGATTTTGTCCAGACTTCTTCAGCTGTTTTACATCTAAGGTTCTTTTTATGATCCATGGTAACAACGGGATTCCACATGTCTTCCTGGGTATCTCTATAATGTAATGGGTTCAGCCTTGTTTTGATAACTGACCATTAGAGGAGTCAGATAATCATACACCCCTCTGTAAAAATGTCTGGTATTTTTCTCATGGTCAGACAGATGGGTTTGGAGTGTGGGGGGAGACCGGTAAAGACATCCAGGGGATACACTGTCAACACAGTTGCTCAGTCACAGGCTGAAGCAGCTCGGTTTCTCTAATAACTACACTTTTCCCCTTTTTTTACTGTACTGTTTGGACAGGTGGGGAGTTGAGTTCTTTTCCTGGAGGGTAGAGTATCTCCTCCCCAGCACTATTATTTTATTCATTTATTCATTTATTTATTATTAATTAATTAATTAATTTATTTATTTTTGGTCTTTTTTGAGACAGGGTAGGCCTGTAGCCCCAGCTGTCCTGGAACTCTCTATGTAGACCAGACTGGCCTTGAACTCACAGAGATCCACCTGCCTCTGCCTCCTGAGTGCTGGGATTAAAGGCATGTGGCACCACGCCCGGCTATTTTTTTTAATTATTTATTTAATAACCACATAATTAGAAGAAACATTTCATTACAACAGCATCAACATATTCAATAACAATTTCCAGAGCTAAGATGCATCTCTTTCAAAATTGGCTGTAAATTCTTAGGTTTACAGTTGACTTATTACAGTTATACAGTATTATACTCAGTGTAAACCCTATAAGACACAAAATTAAATGAGGTTTTAACCTTTAAAAAAGATCTCCAGCCTGGTGTAGTGGCGTTAAGATGTTTGCACATGTGTTTTATATATATATATATCTGATTATTACTAGTCACAGATGGTTACTTTCTGAAATCCTTGGCATCTGAGCATGGATATAGAGTCATCAGGTAGATTTCAATGGTAATGTTTTTCACATCTACTAATTATTAAGGAGCAAATTTTTATACTTTGAAGAATTATATATTTTTTTAAATTTAATAACCACATGATTAGAAGAAGCATTTTATTACAGCTTTAACATATTCAGTAACACACTCCAGAACAAGGACACATGTCTTTCAAAAGTGGCTGTGAATTTTTAGGTTTACAGTTGAATTAATATAGTTATACAATATTGAACTCAGTATAGACCCTGTAAGATATAAAATTGAATGAGTTTTTAACCTTTAAAGAAGATCTCCATTTCATTTTAAAATATGCTGTTTCCTAATTTTTTTTTGGTCTTTTTGAGACAGGGTCTCCCTGTAGCCCCAGCTGTCCTGGAACTCACTATGTAGACCAGGCTGGCCTTGAACTCACACAGATCCGCCTGCCTCTGCCTCCTGAGTGCTGGGATTAAAGGCATGTGCCACCATACCCGGCTGTTTCCTACATTTTTAATGCTTTTAACACTTAGATGTTTGCACATGTGCCTTTAATCTCTATATATCTGATGATTACTAGTCACAGTGGGTTACACTCAGATCCTTACTACCTGAGTATGGATAAAAGTCATCCAGTAGATTTCACTGGTAATGTTTATCACCTCTACTATTTAACATGAAGTAAATTTTTATGCTTCCTCCTCAAATATGTCTTTTTAAAAAAATTTTGTTGATTTTTCTGTGTGTATAACACAAAGAAAGGTATCTCCTGTCTGGCATTGTTTCTTATATAGCCTTTAGCTATACATATGGACTCTTAAAAATTACATTGACCCCATTAACCTTGATTATACTATCTTTTGGGTGTTTAAGGCCATATAGTTGGCCCAGATAAACCAATTTACTTTTACTCTTAAGTTAGTTTGAGG